CAGCGGGGGGTACGGTTGGGGTACGAGGAGCGTAGCGGGGAGGCTGCGATGCGGAAGGACCGCTTTAAGGCAGCAGCAGCAGTCGGCGGCCCGTATGCAAAGAAAGTAGAGTGATCCGACGAGAGGTTTTAGTGCAAAGGCCAAAGCACACCAGCAATAGCGCGAAGGTACGGCACATGTACGGGCACTCCGGCAAAAAGACACACTGTGGAAAATTGTCGTACCGGGTACGGAATAATTTGCCATGGAAGATGTCGTACATTACAATTCAAAATTGCAAATTTACAAGCACTGCGTATAGGCTTAGAATCGAATTACGAGCAGCAAGAGTGGGAGGTTGCACATTTACGACACATTTAGTAATTGGTAAATTACATAACATCGCACATGGGGATCGTCCAGAAAGTACGTCCGCTTTTCTCCGATTCGTTCGACAAATTACAGGAGCCCAGCGCCTGCGAAACTTGGGGTAGGCCACCCAACAGTGCACGCGTGCTGTGCATTAAAGACGTTGCCTACCTGCCAGGCGCCATAAGAGCTTGCATTGGCAGAGCTGGGCAATTTCGTAACGGCATGGCGGACGTTCTTTCAGGATGATCCCTAACTTGCAAGTTACTAAAAAACAAACAAAATGCGACGAAATGAGTCACAAACCTCAGAAGTAGCTGGAAAGATTTTACAAGATCTAATAAAAGTAATCGACGCTCCCAATACACTGATAAACTAAGTGTTCAACTGCTCAACACTTCGAAGTGTGCAATTGCAAGTTAAATACTTGCAAGTGTGCAACTGCAAGTTTAATACTTACAAGTGTGCAACTCCTCTGTTGAGCACTTCCTACACAGTAAGCGTCCAATCTAAGGAAGTGTTCAACCGAGGAGTTGTACACTAGCAAGTGCACAACTACCGAGTTTAACACTTACAAGTGTACGGGTAGGGAGTTGCACACTTGCAAGTATTCAACTTGCAGTTGCACATTTACAAGTGTTGAGCAGTTGAACACTTAGTTTATCAGTGTAAATAGATCGACTGAAGCGTTGTGTGAACGGATTCAGAACGTTTGCGGGCACCCCGGTAGTGTAAGTCGTCGGGGTGAGCGCACAGCTGCGCGACGCTCCTGGCAGTTAAGCAACTGGGGGTGCTGGGGGACAGGCGGTCCACCCGACCCGCACGGGCTGCCTACCGCACAGGCACCTACCAGGGCGAGTAGGCAACCGGAGGGCAGCGGTGCGCTTGGCCCACACGTACTGCCTATCAAGGAGACGGGCGCCTCCCCTCCCCCCTTTCCCCCACCGCACGAGCACGACACCGACGCCATAATACAACGAAATGAAATCTGCTAGATTTTCTCTTAAACCAATTGCTCAAGTACCACCGCCGCTGAGCGGGCGCAGATGGCCATCTTTCAGGCCCTCACCCTGGGGTCCTCGCATTCTCCCCCCGGGCCCTTCTGGGTGAGGCCAGCTCCCCCGCTCGCACACCGGCTCCCACACGGGCGGGCGCGCGGGCGGCGCTTTGACTTTGAGCACACTCGCCGCCGCCCGCAACAGCCCGCCCCGCGCCGGGACGCGAAACTCTGAGCGCACCGAGGCTCTTTAATTACCCCGAGAGGCCAACACCTTGACCGCCTTTAAATAAACCCGCCAATAAGTAGTATTCCCGGCGGTGCGCCCGGCAAGCCGCTCCGCTCCGCGGCGGGGCGCGGCGGCTCCGGCCTCATTCACCGTTTTATTATTTCATACCTTTCCTCGCGCGCCGCTGGTGGTAAATTTCTCATCTGCCCGGGTCAAGCAGCCATTCATCCGGGTCAGCGCGCAGAATGCAGGGGTTTTCTTTTCATAAAGATCATCGTCATCATCATCAATATCTCAGTCGATGACTCAATAGTCGTAATGCCCACGCCTCTAGCGTCAGCATCAAATGAAATTGCTTTCCGCAACACGCAAAACCAGCAACGTTAATGTCATCATCGTCAAAATCATACACTACAGGTAAAACAAATGTAGCAAGCTGCACACCAATCGGTGTGCTTTTCAAATGTACAATCTTTGCACACCTCCTGGTGTCGAACTCAACATCACGAACCGTGCAAACTTTACACACTTCGCAAACGTCCCGGCAACAGCGCACCACAGGATGTGCTACTTTTGCACTTTGGTATGTGATTTCATACTAAAAACCAGAGTGTCACCAAGTGTGCAGTTTTAATATACTTTCCAAACGTTTTAACTTTGTACGTTACGTGATGTGTGCTAAATGTTTAAACACCATGAAGTGAGCTAATTAGAGAAAAGCATCACTGACAAATAAAGTGCTCAACTGTCGTGCACATGCACCTGCTCAACACTATGTTGCACACTTTCAAGTGTTTGACTGGGTATTTGAATACTATAAAGTGTTTAACAGTAACGTTGAACACTTCAAAGCGTTCAACATCAGGGTTGGCTATGAAGATTCGGACACATTAAAGTGTTCAGATTTACTGTTGAACACAAGTATTCAAATATCCTATCAAAGACTCAAAAGTGTGCAAAATAGTGTTGAGCATGTGCATGTGGACGCCAGTTTAACACTTCACTTATCAGTGCATAGTTTAAGTGTGCACAGATGCACACTTGTTTGACCAGTGTGACCCCCACCATTATTACGATATTCATTAGCATGAGCCAGGCCAGGTCCACGGTATGTGAAGCTGGGCAGTGACAGTTCAAGCGCAGAGAGGACGCATATATGGCGAGACGGGGTAAGTGGGCGGACCACACGTTTTGTCATTTTTATTATTGTTTTTATTATTTGGCGTCCCATAACGCAAGTAACCCGCATTGTTCGCCGCAAGAATAACAATTGCGATAAATGACGGACCGAAATGTATGCCGCCCAGCAGTCCTGCCGCTGCACCCGGCTCGAGTACACCGTTGAATGTTGAATATTAAAAACTTATGCCTAAACAACTACTTTTTTTATTTATTTTTATTTTTTTCAGAACTGGAGAAACCATTTTAGCTCAGGGTCATCTGTCCCAATAAGTCAAGCAGTGTTAAGTCTAGAGAGCGCACTCGTATAGGATATCACCATTATCCTAGACCATACGTTAGCTGGGTCTACCCTGCGACTGGACACACCGAGAACTTGGCAGCATCTCCCCAGGTACAACTTTTTGTCCAAAGGTATGTGTGCTTTGTCCCCCACCACCACCACCACCCGCGGCGTTGTACGATCTGTACGATCCACGCAGATAGAGCCGTGCGCGTCAATCCGAGGCAGGCCAGGCCTCTTCACTTATTTGGCATGCCACGCCACGCCACGCCACGCCACGCCGCAGCAAGACACGATGTCCCCAGCGTGCGTGTGTGGACGCCTAAAGACGAGCACCCCCACGGAGAGGCGCGGGCAGCGAGAGAGGCCGTCAGGAAGGGGGGGTTAGAGAGTGGGAAAGAGATGCATGACTATCGCGCAGTTTCCATGCCTTGCGTCTCTCTCACACACAACGCGCGAGCCAACTCAACACCAGGCTGCTCTGCCCATCTCTCTCTCTCTCTCTCTCTCTCTCTCTCTCCTAGCCGTGCGCCCATGAGACTCTGATTGATGGGGCCGTGTCCAGTCCGGCGTCCAGGGTCCGGCCCAGTGCCCCGGTGGTCCACCCCGCCGCGCCGCGCCGCGCCGCGCCACGGGCCGCAGGGGGTAGAGAGAGGGCGCGGCGTACAAGCGTAGAGCACCAAATCCCCGAGATACATCATCGATCTACATAACAGCTGATTGGAGTTCGTAGAAGGAAAAAAATAAGGGTTTCGCAAGCTGACGTGCATAGACAGTGCGCTCGCAGACAGATGGACAAAAACGCAATATGAATGTGTGGCCTCACCGGAGTAGGGAAGTCTACGTATTCGTCACCGAGGACATTTGGTCGACCAGGGCACGGACTCACCCCGTCAATGACTAGACGTTTTGCTACGAAAAGCGCGTGTTGGTGTGCGCTCAGCCCCCTACTGCGCGCCTGTATTTACAGGTATGACTATTCACTGTAAACGATGTGGTCGCATTAATGGTCAAAATTGCTGCATTTCCTTTTTGAATGCCAAATTTCGGACTGCCAAGTTTTTGGCCTCTTTGCTCTTTGCTTGCAAAAGTTTCGTCTCCTTTTGAAATAAGGCCAAATTTAGGCCATTGTGAGTGCCAAATTTTAGCATTCTTTTAGGGGCGACCAATTTTCGGCCAAGCAAGGTGGTCAAAAATTGGCAGTCTCTTAAAAGGCCAAAATTTTGGCGAGCAAATTGGCCACGGCGTTTAGTGTGTCTTGCACAGCTCACGATTAATCTTTTCGCTGCTGCCGCATAAATCCTTTTACCCTCCGTGCTGTGTACAAGTGCAGCTTGTAGGTGCACAGCGCTATACCGCCGACAGACAGATCATGCGATGCACGGACGGCAATCAGGAACGATTAGCTGACAGCAACAGATCTCAACATAAATCAAAGCGGTGCCACAGATACAAATTCTTTATACAAACGACAGGGTGTTGCAGTGTGATGAGATGGGTCGATCACTAACTGAGTAGACGTCGGGGGGTTTTACTGCAAAACTATTCAAGACATTTTTCTGAACTTATTTGATTGTAATCGTAAATAACAAGGCTGACGTGACGGTCACCTGAAGATATTTCTCATTTGATAAGAGCCGCTAGACAAATGAATATCGCGACCGTTTTAAACGTGCCAGACAGTATAACAGTTCCGTTCCCAGCCTGCGGACGCTACTTTAATCGGCCTCAGAGGCAGGCACATGTCACTCCGGCGCGCTCACAATGCTTCGTAAATTTTGGGAGGGATAGAGGGGGCCTTTGTCCGATACCCTTCCGTTCCCCGGGTCCCGGGCCCCGAGCCTCACTTCGGGGGGCATATCCTCCCTCATCAGGTGGATACGTCACGTGCCCGATCAATCCCCTCCGGTCAGTTGTCGCCATCGCACCCTCCTCCGGGTTTTATATATCGGGGAGTAAAAGACAGAGGGACAGAGGACAGAGACAGGGTCGTCTGGTGCGACAGGAGACGGCGCCTGACGCCAAAAAGTGAGGCCACGGAGCAGTAGGCAGGGCCCATGAAGAAAGCCTCGCAAAGGAGGACAAAGACGGACGTCGCACGGCCTGGGCCTGGGCGCCTGCTGGGCCCGGGCAGGGGCGGCGCCGTCTGGCGCCACGGCGCTCGCGACTTCCCCCTCCCGAACATTACCACCACGTCCTCGAGTACTGCTACCACCACCAGCAAACATGTCTTGGACTTGCCTAGAGTAGCCGCGAGGCCTTATCCGCAGTAATCGTTCATTCACAGCATTTAGGCAGCTTTAGACTAATGGGGTAAAAATGGCAAATTAAGGAATTATCCTTTTTATTAACTTTAAATTATCGTGGGTCATGTACAGTACGATAATGTTCGAAAACATTGCGTGATTTACTTGTAATTTTTTAATTATTGTTCAATCTTAAAAATATAAGAGTCAACATTTTGCCCTCATCACGCTCCTCGTGTTTTTCGAAAAAGGGGCGTCTCACGGACCCAAACAGGAAAATAAACTTTTGTTTGGGTACTCCCGATCCCTTTTGCAGCCTTGGCAGGGCATGGCCAGCCCAGGGCCACGCGGCCGCTGCTCGCGGAGCAGACTGTACCCGGTGGAACAATGCAGCCATGTAAGAAACTAAGATTTCCCAGAAAAGTGCACATGGGTCCCTCTCTGCTACCCGTATGGCCCCGCCGGGGACCACGGCTCCCGTTCGCTACCGTCCGCATTCTCAGGGGGTCACGCCGGGTGGAGGGCGGGTATGGGGTGAGGGTCGGGTGGGGCGGGGCGGGGGCGCCTGCAGCGTGCAGGCTGCTTGGTCGCAACCTGGTCGGTCCTGCCGGGCCCTACAGAGCTCCCCACCTCTGAAAACATCGGGCAAGGGGAGAGGGGAGTTGGGGGCCGGTCTCTTGCTTCATTTCAATATCATTTCAATAAACGTGTCATCGCTGTACCCTGCTCGCCATAGGATCTCATTGCGCCCACCCCACCATGCGGCACACAGTCGCATACAGCGCTGCACCGGGGAGTTCATGGCAAAGAGAGTCCCACACCGGGACTTGGTCGCCTGAAGGATCCCACTACCACAACTAAGGCCACTCAACGCGGACCTGGACGAACCCACGGTTGCACTCGAGTGATGCATGAGCACATCTTCATAATCCGCCCATAGTGAATATATGACAAACTGAAACGCGCTCAAGGCCCAAGGGATCACCCAGAAAGTACGTCCGCTTTACTCAAATTCTGTCGGCAAATTACAGAAGCTTGGTGCCTGCGTCACTCGGGGTAGGCCAACCCGCTGTACACGCATGCGCTGTAGGGAAAGTGTTGCCTACCTATCAGGGGCCACGACAGCTTCCATCGACTGAACTGGGCAGATTTGTAAAGGCGAGTGACGATCGTACTTTCTAGATGATCCCTGAAGCTAAGAGAAATGAGAACAATTCATCATCTCACGATAAATCTAATAAAAAACGATCATTGAATTGAGCAGCAAGGGCCCGGGATTCAACCGTTAACACTTTTTTGTCAGAGAGGCAATAGATTTGGGTATGCATAAGCTACCTACTTGGAAGCGGGCGGATCGTCGATGATGTTCCTCATATATCTACACCAACAAGCTGACTACACCTACTCTGAGCTTCTCACACCTGTAAACCCCAGACCTGCATTAGTGCTAGTATTTTTCCCCCTCGAGGACAGTGGGTCGTTTACTTATGGCTAGTAAACTTCATCAACAGAAACATTTACCTCAGGTCAGACCTAACAGTACCAGCCAATAAACAAGATTTTCTTAAATGAAATAATTTCCATTAACGTGTATTTTGACAATAATCTGTCACAACACCTCCCTTTATGAGAAGGGTTTCTCACGGCCAACTGCAAAACACTTGTCTGGTAAAGTTAAAGAAAACATGCTGATAATTTCCCCCAGAATACCATAGTAGCAGTAATACATATGAGTTAACATGTTCAGTGCGGCTGTGCATTCTAGGGGTTGGAAAAGACAGCAAAGTGTGACCACATTGTGGTCAAGCCGCACTGGACGCGTTAAAATTCATATTAAGTAATGTCTGCTTATTAGCTTTCAGCAGCACATATTATTTTATCACTAAGCCTGAAATCTTCACAGTGTGTGGTATTTATGAAGACCATGTTGCAAAACGCCCAACTAACTTATTCCTTGCACAAAAGATTGGAAATAATAAAAATCAGACAAAAATTAAATAGATTTCTAAAAATGTTGTATTAAGTATCACTTTTAACCATAGTTTAAAACTGCAATTACAACCTGGCCTTATAAAAATTTCTCACAGTACATTTACAGGACAACTGAAATTAAAATGGACACCACAATGTGCCATCACAATCATGCAGAGTTGGCAAAGACTTGATGAAGGAAGACTACTCATATTTAAGAATAACAGCAATAGAAACCAAACAGGAATGCTTGGTGATGCTCACCATGATTTGCTTAATCCTTTTTCTTGAAAAAATTCATTAATGATTGTTGTTTGTTCTTGGCAGGGGACTTGTTTTTGATTGGAGATGGTTTCTTACTAGCAGGGGCTTTGCCTTTCTTTGTTTTGCTTTTGGAGGAGGAAGGGGATTCTTTGCTTGACGCTGTTGATGGTGGTTCCTTCATCTTTTTGGACTCTTGATTTTCGGTGTCACTTTCACTGTAGCTTTCATATTCAGTAACCTTCTGTGTAACTAAAGATTTCCCAGTGATCAGTCATACAGCTTACCAACAAAAATATTGTTCAATATTTGATTTTACTTTTATTTTCAACTTACCAACATATCCATCGTCATCCATAAAGGTTTTGTCTTTATTGACTTTCCTTTTCCGGCGGACCCGACCACTACTGCTCCCTGCGTCTGGAGTAGGGGGTATAACATCGTCCTCCTCGTCTGATTCCAGAGCTTTCGCTTCAAGCACTGGCACTGGAGATGGCTCTCGTGATGATACTTTATCTTCTTCTTCGTCAAAAATATCTGCCAAAAACAAAATGGGGTGAGTAAAAAGCCTTTGAAGAATGTGATAGGAAATCATAATACATAGTGAATAAACATACCATCATCACTACTATCAGATATTTGCCTGATACGTTTCCTCTTCTTTCCATCATCCTTCTTTTCCTGTGCCTTAACTCTTTTCTTTTTATTCTGTTTGGTTGCCTAATCCAAAAAAGATATTAATAAAAGGGGCCAAATAGGATTTACCAATATATATGTCCAAATAATGGATGGTACCTTAGGTGTTTGTTTACTCTTGGACTCTGGGCTGGGCTTCTTCTCAACTTTAGCAGTTACAGAGCTAGAATGTTTAGATGGTATGTCATCTGCAAAGGCAAAAACTAAGTGTTAAAAAAAAATTAGAGTGAACCTACTGTGCACAAGAAGGGCAACAAAGTTGAGGGTCAATATACCACAGATCTCTTTCGCCTCTTCTGATACATTTTCCACATCAACAGACTCCTCTTCACAGGTCTTCACTGTAGGTTCTTTGTTTCCATCTGGTTTACTGGATTTTTCAGTGGGTTCTTCCTTACTGACTTTGCTAAAGAAATTTGATATACCGCCTGTTTTCTTGCCTGCTGTGTTATTCTGCAGGAAAATTCAGTAATAAGCAAAATTTGGAGACAGAGGATACAATGGCATGAAAAAAGAAACAACAACTAACTTTAGTTGTTGAGGAAGACGCAGCAGTTGATTTCGAGGCCTTTGAAGTTTGGGCTGCAAACATTGCCGCAAGGCCTCCCTTTGCCTTGTCTTTGGTTGCAGGTTCTTTCCCATTTCTTTCTTCAGACTTTGATTTGAGGGGTGACACCTGAAAATCGACAAAGTTAAAAATCTAACACAGCAAAAGTGATACATAAAAAAGACAGATTCAAGCAGAGACTGCTTCGTATTAAAATTCCTTCAAAAAATCTAGACTGAATCTTGAGGACAGTGATCTTAATCTTAACTCCAACTGTCAAACAACATTTAGCTATTTTCATTACCTTTTCAGATTCTTTAGACGAGGAAGCAGCAGACTGTGTTTGTTTCGGTACAACTTTGGCAGGTGCTGGAGGGGGAACAGTAATTCTAAGGAGCGCTAATTCTTCAGCAGCTCTCCGCACACTCTCTTTGCACCTAATAGCTCCCAGGCTACAAAACAAAAATAGAATGTGGGGTGAAATAAATCAATGTCTTTTATTTTTCTTGATGTCTCATTGTGTGTTTACCTTTCAACACCTTCTTTTTCATCGAAAGGTTGAGTGTTCACAGTGTAGAGAGTGCTTAAGGACGGAGTTTTCTTTGCTCTCTGAATGCTGTAAACATGCTCGGACGAGAGAGACTCAAACGACAATTTCATTTCCTCATATTGATCTTGCCCAACAACAACCATGTGGCATTCTCCATTGCATCGTAGCTTTCCTGCTATTAAAAATGTTGCAGACACAAGGTCTTTTTTATCCTTACAGAATGTGTACAGTAGTCTAAATAGAATTAAAAAGATTTTGTTACAGAAAGAACAGTTGAATAAAACAAAAAAGACAAAAAAAAGACAATATTCTGCTTACTGTTTTGATTGATTCACATGGATATTCAGGGTCTTGCTTAGCCATTTATAAGTGACCTGAAAAAGTGAAGAAATATTTAATTAAACACAAAAGTGATGTTCACGATAAATGGGCGATAGATATTATTTATTTATAATTCTAAAACCAACATTTCAACAATTGGACAAGAGAGGTTGGACTATTCGTTATAACTCGAGACGCACACGAAAGCTGCCGGGACCTCACTTACTATTTTATCTTCATCCATAACGAATTCTTCAAGATTCTGTAAATACATTTCTTCACACTTTCCATCCATTTCGGTGTGGTTAATTGTTGCACGATTTGAGGAGACAGAACACATCCAAAGATTCCATTCATTCGCCCGGAGGTAGCTGGAAGGCGGGAATTTAACGTTTCGGTTTTGTTCTTGCACTCTTCAGGCTGCTAAACCAAATAACACTAAACTGTTTCTTGGACTGGACTTTACATCGGAATTACTGACAACACTCGCCAAATTCAACGGTTTAGAAACCACAACATGCGCAAGAATATTTTATCTGGAGACACCGAAACAAATGGCTTAAACTTTTGCCTTTATATCTCCTGATATTTGTCATCACAGGTTTAAGATACTAATAACAATAGAAGCAATTTCTCATCCGCTTTATGACTCATCCCGCTCTGTTATCAGCAGAACAGCTGGCCGTACACAAACAAGTGTCATCTGTTGATACCCGCTCGGAAAAAGTGCACTAAGTTTTTATCGGGCATTTTGCTGGCTTGGCTAGCGTCTCTTATCTTTCTGCCTCTTCTGAAGTGAGTATCTCACCTACATGTAACATTAAGAGGCTTTTGGCGTAGTGCCTGCCGTGCTCACAATCTTCGGCACTCTTGAGCCGATACCCGTCAGTACGTTGGATATAGACATTTATTGCTCAGTCGTCTGGTACGACAGTATAACTGATTATTTTATATCCTTATTGGAAAGTTTTAAGGAAGAATTAGACGTCAGATACCAATTTTAATGTAAATAACTTTGAGGTTATGTTGTGACGGTTTTGACTTGAGTATAGCAGATTATATGAAATGATACTAAGACAAAGTTCAAATACGCTTGTTTGTGTCTCCTTCGTGTGTTTTTTTTTTGTTTTCAGTTTATGATGACAGGTTCTCAAATTTTACGTAACGTATCAAACTGTAAAAAGTTCTTCTCCTTTTCAGTATTTTTCAGGCCTCTAGACAATGCTCAAAGAATACATGTACACATCTTCACATACCTTCTAAAGGGCTTTCTCGACATCAAAAATGGAGTCACAGGAGAAAAATCATCGTTCTGTACCTCAAGATCTAGACTGGGAGCGCTTTGGCTTGGACGGGAGTCGCAATACAAGTAAGTTTGTTCCAGAAACAGGCGTCCAAAAGACAGATATGAAGGACATTCATGGAAAATCGTTCTGATATTGGTTTTTGGTTTGAATCTAATACGATTTCAACCTGCAGCACGCAGACACAGCTCTAGCCGTGATGAAACCCGAGGAGGCAATGAGCCTGAGTACCACTATGGTCACCAACCATCTGATGCTTCAGAAATTTTTGCCCAGGAACATGTACGGTTCATATTTCTTCTTGTGCTTATAAAAATATATCAAAATGTCATGATTGGTTGTTTTTTATCGGCTCTAAAATTTTCCAGGCAGGACAGCCATGGTGGAAATCTAACTTTTTTATATCACAACCTGTCCTCTTTGGTACTTGGGATGGCGTTTTCACTTCATGTTTAATTAACATCTTCGGTGTGATTGTGTTTCTACGATCAGGCTGGATTGTAGCCCAAGCAGGAATAGTAAATGCTGTTCTTATGGTATTGTCTACAGGTAAGTCAGGCATCAATAAACTCTACCATCTAATGAAGTACATTTATTTTTATCCGTTTTTCTCTTGTTTTGCAGTTTTGGTTGTTTTAACATCAGTGATGTCAGCTGTAGGAATCTGCGAAAGATGTAGGATGGAGAGTGGCGGTGTCTATTTTCTTTTAGCACATGTCTTAGGGTCCCGTTTTGGAGGAGCCATTGGTCTTCTCTATGTTTTTGGACAGGTAAAAATGTTCAAACAACCCTCACATTAGATATATATGACTCATCATGCTTTATAATAATTGAAATAATAAATATAACAACATCTTTTGTAGGCTGTTGGCTGTGCCCTGTATGTTTTGGGCTTTGGAGAATCGTTGGCTGAACTCTTAGGCCTTGAGACTGGACCTGAGAAATCTCCTTGGTCAGAACGAGGATTAGCAGGAGCAGCTGTTATTTTGCTTGGTGCAATAAATGTAGCTGGTGTGAAATGGGTGGTAAAACTTCAATTCATACTTCTACTTATCCTTTTGCTTGCTGGGCTGGATTTTGCTGTTGGCAGCTTTGTACATACTGATCATTGTAAGTTTAACTTTGAGAATGTTTGTTCAGTATCGAAAATTAAATTATGTTACCTGTGTAACTTCCTGATAATTTTTTTTTTTCCTGTTTCAGTAAGTGGATTTGATGGATGGATGTCAGGAAACTTAGCTAATAATACCTATCCGGATTATTTTGGTGGTTACAGTTGGTTCACTGTGTTTGGAGTGTTTTTCCCTACTGTGACTGGTATAATGGCTGGTATTAACATGAGTGGTGATCTGAGACAACCTAATGTCAACATTCCAAATGGTACTATTGCTGCTGTAGGAGTGGGGTGAGTTGCATTCATTTGATCAAGTGGAAACATTACAATATTTACAACTGACAATGAATTAATACTACTGTCATCCTTTTTTGTCTGTTTTTACAGGACATTTTTATACTTAATGTTTGTGATTGTCTTGGCATCAACATGCACCAGACAGGCTTTGAAAAACTATATGATTGCTGCCAAAGTAGCTGCTCTACGTAAGTTCCAAATCATTCCATTTGTAATTTCAGCAAACTCCAATTATTTTTTCTTTGCATTCTTGTAATAATCATCTAACAAAATTTTAGATTTTCCTCTTCTTGCCGGATTATACGTATCATCCATGTCCAGTTGTCTTGCTGCTATGTATGGCACTCCAAGGGTGTTACAATCCATAGCTAATGAGAATGTTATTCCTGTCATACAGTTTTTAGGGCATGGGGTATGTAAATATACTATGTGAAATGTTAACACTTAACAGGTATTCTGTTCAATTGTTTTTGAATTAATTATTATTTTATACCATGAATTTCAGAGAGGTCCGAATAAAGTACCAGTTTATTCCATGACTGTGGTTGCAGTGGTTACCATAACTTTCATCATAATTGGACAAATAAACACCCTTGGCCCTGTAGTGACAATGCCTTTTTTGCTCACTTACGCAGCTGTTGACTACTCATATTTTGCATTGGCTCAAACTTTTGACATGCGGTTGAAACGTGAAGAAAGGTTCAGGTACTTAGCAATTTATTTCCACTAATAGTTTTAAAATCAAACAATCTTTATTACCTACTACTATGTCATTTTGGTTTTAGATACAGTGAACAAAGTCCCACTTTTGAATCCCGAGATGGATATGGAGCAGCTGGTCATGATTCTCATACTGACAGCCACTTTCACAGTGATTTAGATAAACTGTTTCCTGAAAGATTGCATCACAAAAAAGGAACGGTGAGAATATTCTCCCACTTTTATTTCATCTAACCAATCTAATAATTTATTCTACAAACTAACTGACAAATGTATTGTTCAAAATCTCTAACAATAATTAAATTTCAACTGTTTACAGGGTAGTCATGCATCTGACCACAGTGCTGTGTCCTCTCCTGATGACACAGTTAGTGTAACTGGGAGTGCAGTTACAGCAGTAGAAGTTGGAGTGACCCTACCAAACGATTCTAAGCAAACCAACATTCATTCTAAACCACAGAATTGGTATTCAAGTCTCTGCAACCGATGGGCATCTCTGTTCGGGGTATGCAAAAACTCTTTACCTTGACTGTTGTAATATTATGTGTGTTGTATTTCACCCCTCCCTCCATCCTCCATTGAGCTTAAGCTTAAGTTTTGTCTCTAATACTTTTCTTTAAATTTGATTGTAGGCTGTCCTAAAGATTGGCATGATGTTCCTTGTTCATTGGGGATATGCCTTGATTAATATGGGAGTTCTGTTCCTTGTATGGTTTTACATAGGACAAGCAAACCCTGCTGTGAAACCTGGTGTCTCTGCAGAGTTTAATTTTTTCCGTTGGCTTAAACAGGCGATTTTACGGGCTTTAGGGTATGTTGTTCCTGACTTTTTATTTTTATTTTGTTGCTTTCGGTTTTCTTATTGTTTACAATCTTGCATAATGTAACCAATTGTATTTGCAGGAAACGTGTCCAAGAATATGAGCACATTGTTGTTACTCCAGTCTGTCCTGGTGTTGAAGTTCAGTCTGCACAGTTGAATGATGACAATGAAGATTTTGCTTCCCGGCGTCGTTATCATCAGTCCTCAACAGTTCAGGGAAGATTTGTTGATGTTGATGAGGATTGATCATGATTTAGAAGCTTACAAAAGACATATCAGTTTAGTAAGGTGGCTATCCATTTAATGTATCATTACATTACATCTTATATTTCCAACTAAAAATTCCTTTCATTAAGTTTTGATCTTTTGCACTTCTGACTAAAAATTTATTCTTGTCTTAAAATTAAATTTGTGAAATGATCTACATGTCCTGAACACTAAACCAAACATAAGAAAGTCTCACAGTTCAAATTCATTAATGTCATGGGTCAGAGAAACTTAGGAAAACACTTGGGACTCATCTCATTTTGTTGACATCGTAGCTTGTACCATCTTTCCAGAATTCCTATTGTGATATTTCTAGAAAAACAGATTATTGAACCAGTGCAAATTAGTCGACAAAGTATTTCAAATGAAATGGACTGACTAGCTGAACACTAGATGTAAGCTTTCAAACACATGATAGGTGATATAAATAGCCCAAATTTTTCTCTGATGACATCACGTAAAAATTATTTTAGCATAATAATTTTGCTCCTTTTCATATTTTGAGTTGACCGATCTGTGTTCATCAGTTTGTTTAATGTACTCTTCTGTTTTCATAAAATTCTGGAAAAAAGTATCCGTTGTAACATGTTCTCTTTCTTACTATATCTTTGGTGCTTTAAATTTGTAAGGAATTTCCATGCAACGTCTTCTTTATTTATTTATTAACTGTTTTCTGAAATGACTTAATTTATTAATCTACTATTTATGTGCTCCAATGATGTTGTATTTATTGTATCTTTTGAAAGCTTTTTCTGTTATTTTTTTTTTAATGAGAATCCCTGGTACAGTAAGTAGAAGTCCATCTGTGTGCTGAAAGTGATTACACTGTTATAAGGTGGATTTACGATAGCACCGCAGCAAGCGTAGTTTTGCCTCTAGTGTTAAAACAACGCTCGCAAGGTCCTCTTCCACTCTCTCCTCTCCCTGTTCTGACCAGTGCCAGCGTTAATTCAGCGCTAGCGTTCAAGATATGCTCGCTGCGTTCTGCTCGTATATCCCCCTTTGCCCTTCCAATGTTTTGTTGGGTATTGTTTGTTTTTGTAAACCTTTTTGTTGTTGTTAATTGTGATGAAATCAATTTGTCCACACATTTTTTTTGTGGACCGATTCCTTTTTCCAGAACTTGTGCTTTTAATGACTGAGTAATACCTAATGAGTAATTATTCTAATTCCGTACCATTCTTAAATAAGTTAATCTATTTTCGTAAAATTTTCAATCGGATTTTATTTAAATGAATAGTTGGTCTGTAATAGTGGGTGTGAAGTAAAATGTTATTGTAACTTGTGTTTCATATTATAATGAATTTGATCAAGTGTTGTAAAAACACTGGTACTTTGTTGAATATTTTTAAAGGTATTGTCTTTGCTAATTTATTTTGTTGTTTACTGCAATACGTTTTGTTACTACAGATTTTCAATGTAGCATATTGCTGTGTAGAATGAATTTATGGAGGGATAGGGACTGAAGCAATCATGAGTTGTTGTCTTTGGTTTTCCATTTCTCTTCTTCAGCAATACTTCAACTGCAATATATTAAGCTTCCAACCATGCCTCATGCTGTGAGATGAAGTAGTATTATGTATGATGTGTTGAGTGATTTTTGCGATTAGACACTTACAATTCCTATTCCTTTCCATTTTGCTCATTCAGTTTACTTAATTTACGTAGGCAGCTTCTTTGAATGAAACATAAAGATGCTTGAAGTTCTGTCTTGTCTTGTAAAAGATGCAATATTGTTGCTTTGTACCTTCCAGTTGGGTCATAAAGATTGCAAATTATTTTCATTTTTTTTTGTTTTGTGATTATCATTGTAGATCCCTCCATTCAGAGTGTTACATCAAAGTGCCATTCTATGAATGGATTGGAAAGTATTTGTGTATAGTGGCACAACGAAATTGCTACTTGCCAAATTTAAATAATTTTAATTTTTCTGACTAATAAAAGTCTATAACAAAATTACTTGACATACGTGTCGCTCTTGTCACTTATTTCTACCTTTTCTATCGTATCTTCCTACTTTCACCCATAAACAACTGCAACAGATGAAAACCGTAGGTACAGTCCCGAACTTCCAGTGATATTTATTCCACAGCTTAGTTTTAGTGGCCACAACTTATTTTCCAGCCGTAGTTAGTCAAGTCAAGTCAAATCCTGCCCGCCTTTCGCCACATTGTCCCCCTCCCCCAAGAGTCTTCTTCCCCCCTCCCCTAGCGTGCAACGAGCCTCCTCGCCGCACTTCACTACACTTCACTAGCCGTCAAAATCAAACGCCGGTACCGCCACCGCTATCGTCGCCTTTTCTCAGAAGTGTGGTGCTCTGTACTGATTCTATTTCACGAGTACTTTTTTCAAAGTAGATTTAGAAATGGTGGAACTTAACTCGAATGAGCTGACAGATGCTGAAGCGGAACAATACGATAGACAAATTCGTTTATGGGGCCTGGATTCTCAGAAGAGGTTAGAAATTTCCATATTTTGATTTTATTTTTTACTTTGCTACTTTAATCCATATCATCGTTCATAACTTACTTGCACTTGAAAGTTTGTAAAATTTTCGATTTTTTAAATTCTTGTATTGTTTTTTGTAGGTTGCGCTCATCTCGCGTTCTCATCATTGGGCTGAAAGGTTTGGGGGCTGAAGTTGCCAAAAATATAACTCTAGCTGGTGTCAAATCTGTTACACTTCTTGATGATGGTGCTGCTTCTCAAGATGACATCTGCTCACAATTTCTGGTTCCTCGTGACCAGATAGGTAAAAATGTAAGTAATGTCATCTGTTTTCATGAATGTACACAATCTTTCTGTTCTATTAAATTTAGTTTCTGAAAGTGTCACTGACTTTTTCAGAGAGCTGAAGCTTCTTTGGCTCGTACGCAGAACTTAAACCCAATGGTTAATGTGACTGCAGAGACATGTGCAGTTGCTGATCATCCTGATGAATACTTTCATGCATTTGAAGCCATTTGTGCCACCAAGTGTCCAACCGATCAACTACTGCGGTTAGATAAAATTTGCAGAGAAAAGAGTATTAAATTCTTCTGTGGAGATGTCTTTGGCTTCTTTGGCTTTATGTTTGCTGACCTACAGACTCACGAGTTCGCTGAGTATGTATTCGCAGACTAACCAGCTTAATCTATCTATATCAGTATTATTTAATACTTACAACTGTGCCCTTTTTCAGAGAAATTACAGAGTTTAAACCTACAGCCACTGAAGAACCTGCTGCAAAGCGTCTGAAAGCAGAACCAGTTAAAACAACTGTCAAACGATCTTCAACATTTGTGCCTCTTCAAAATGCATTAGATGTAGACTGGACAGCAGAGCCCTACTCCAAAAAACTGAAAAAGTCTGAATCATCATACTTTTTGATGAAAAGTAAGTTGTTCATAACTGACTTTCTTCATAGTTTTTTACCATATATTTTACCATACATCATGTAACATTTCTGATAACATTTTATATTTTAGTCCTCCTTAAATTCCGTTCTGAGAACATGAGAGATCCTTCACCAGGAACTCGATCTGCTGATATGGAAGAACTGAACAGATTAAAAAATGAAGTTTTGACTAAGATGTCTATTCCTCTTGAAAAGGTTCCTGATAATTTACTGAGGTAAAACCTGAACTCGTATTTTTTGTGCATGGGAATAGTGTATGTTACATTTTATGTTACTGCATCTTTGCTTCTTTTTTTTTTTTTCCAGTATGGTGTTTGCTGAAATAGGCCCAGTATGTGCCATAGTTGGTGGAGTTTTATCGCAAGAGATAATCAAAGCCCTATCTCAACATGAGGCTCCTCACAATAACATGTTTTTCTTTAACCCAGAGCGTAATTTGGGTCATGTTGAATGTCTTGGTGCCTAAGTTATCTTATTTAATTACAAGAAGCCCTCTTTTCTGTATATGTTTTGTTAAGTACTCAGTTTTTCCATTTATAGTTTTGCAATGAAAAAGTTCCAATGTAAGGTTGCAATTAAAAATAAATTAAGTTCTCATAGTTTATTTGAAACTTTTAATCTTTACAAAGCAAGAGTTCTTTTAGTTACTGTAGTAGAAAAAGATTCCTTTTCAATCTTTATGTTCTTTTCTGTTGATTTGGGAAGTTTTGAGAGGAGATTGTTTAGTAACAAAACGTTGAGGCTGAAGAGGAGGAGCATCTTCATACTCTTCACTAAGCTTTTTAGCAAGGAAGTAGATTTCTGCTAAAGCTATGGTTAGTGCACAGGCAACACCAAGAAGTAGCCTAAATCCAAAGTCCAAAGATCCAACCATCAGTTGAACCCCTAAAAATCCAAAGGTGAAACCTGCACCAACAGATACTACAAACTGCAGTACAGCAATGATGTGAGAGTTTATCATTTTCACTGCAACAATATAACATCAGTAATTTTATTTTAAAGAAAACTTATTACATAATTGCATAAAATAAGAACTCTTACTCTGATATCCAATGCTGTCATCAGGGTGATGAACTCTGACATTATCAACATTCTTAGTCATAGCTTTATATTCTCTGTCTGCTTGTTCTTTTTTCAACCTTTGAATTCTTGCTTCAAGCTCAGGGTTCCTAAACAAGCAATATTCAAACTTTGAACTATTTGAAAGAATAATTTTCATCAGTACCAATTGAAAATGTAAATTCAATACCTTTCAACAATAGGCGGCTCTGGCAGAATAATGTCACATCCCTCCAACAAATCGTGCAAATAGATCCCAGATGACTCATCTCCATTCTTCTGCAGTTTTTTAACTTGATTGTACAACCAATTAAAATCTTCGACATACAGGAAAGATGCGCTCGCAGCGTCAGGAAGAGATAAGGCTGCTTTACCACCTCGCTTCTTAAGTGGCACATTGGGTGTAGAGAGCAGTTTAATTCTCTCTGGTGTGTCATCAATATCAGCTAAGTGCTGTTGAATAAATTCCTTCAACTTTTCTGAAGGAGCAATTTTAATCACACTGCTTTCTGCCATTTTTAAATTGTGTTTTGAAGCTAATTCTGATTAGCTTTCACTTAACAATGTACAGTTTAGCCTCCAGATCTTGATAAAACTCTCGGAGTTCGCCTTCCTTTTCTTGGAATGTAGAATCTACTTTGGAACAGCGTCCAGCCATATCAGAGATGAAATTTTCCCAGTCAGCCTTCCTCAAGGCCCGTTTTGCCTCTAAACTGTTATCCTGAAATGAGATAGCATATGGATAATGTGACTGTAAACATTCTCTAAAAACAAAATACAGTTTATGGGTAACTCACAGCTAAGTGTTCTTCTTCACTTTTTATCATACGGTTGCACATATTAAGAGCAGCATCTAAATTGGTGTTGAGGATGGGCAGCGAGGTCTCACCACTCTGCTTCAGTCGATCTACTTGAGAGTCACGAATCTCTGTTACTCTCTCTAAAACAATAAAAAGTCGTTCTACTTCACGGTCTTGACGTTTCTCCTGCAAGCAGAGGAATAAACTGACAATTAAGCTACAAATAGAAGGTTTTTGAGAGTGATGTGGGACAATACCCCTCATCGCTTACCTCAAACTCACGTAGGAAAAACTTTATTTCTCCACTTAAATATGGTCTGTGGTCGAAGAGGCGAGTCCAAATTTCACCAGCATCTGTAAATCATCAACTTTTAAGTTCTATCACTTTTTGTTGTGTCTCCTGCACATAAAAAGAACACCAGTAATGTGTCATGGGCAATATTTATCGCGTGTAATGGGCCAATCATTCGCATACCCGTGCATGTTTATTTCTTTATTATTATGAATGGCCACTTGGTAATCTACAAAAGTTAAGGATTTCTAATAGCGATAGCTGAAAATCAAAATTATTGTCAAATGTCATGTGATAGAAAACATACCTTTCACAATCGCAGCCATGTCATTTCTAGACCGCCGACCCTAGTTTGGACGGTATGAGAGTTTACACTACTTGAAAGTAGGAGAAACTCAGTATATAGAAAAACGCGGCAAGTTCAATTTAAACTCGGAATAGGAAGCGGAGATGCTTTTCTCAAGGGAGATGCTTGCGAAAAGGCGGCCCTTTCTCAAGGCAGATGACAGAGGCAGATGGTTAGCTTTGGTTCACTTGTAATTCCCTTCAAAACAACAATAAAAATGATGTTCGGTACCCAGTGAGAAACAGTTACATCGAAATGATGTCAGACTGATATCGTTGTCGGTAAATTGTCGATTATCGTGTCGAATCGATCCTGAGATGGTCTTAAAATCGAGACATTTCCGATAACTGACATCTATTTGATGTCGATTCGATGTCACATCGATTTTGATT